TAATTGTCTCAACAGTGGGGAAAATATTTTACTGTTATTTCTTTGTTAATGTGTGTGTTTTTGTAGCAGCAACATGCGGCATAACGTCACGTATGTACAAAACCTGCCGCTGCCGCTACGTGACCCGCAGGCCGACTCACCCCCATGATCTTGCTCCTCTGCTCCACGTCCTCCCACATGGAGTGGACGATGTAGCGGCACAGGTACTTCCCCTCTCGGCCCTCCTGACGCATCCGAACCAAACACATCCTGACAGGACGACAGCAGAACACAGAGAGACGCGTGAAACCACCGACAGACGGTAGTTTTTAGTCAAGAACACAACCAGGCTGATCGACTGAGTTCATCAACACCGAGTATAAGACGGGGGAGCTAAGTTTATTTGGTAAAGGACTGATCCAAACCAAAACAGAAGCAAATAAAACAGCTTTTCATTTAGTTTAAACACCAGTTTGGAAGCAGACGGAGGTCCTGGTCACGTACGAGCTGAGAAATGAGATCTTCTATCCGACATTTGGGTTTTACTGGTTTCCTTCAGGGACGAATGGAAACTCAAATCCAGGAAGCAGCTTAGGAAACATGAAAAGTGTTGACGGAGCGCTAACAAGACGGTGCTGTTTGAAGCACACGAAACACTCTGGAGATGTTTTCCTTCAAACCTTCTCATAGTAAAGAAATGCAACACACAGTGCAGTTTACAGACTGAAGGATGAAAATGCAATAAAACGACATAAATAAACTCTCAGCATCTTGTTAGAAATAAGAATAAACTTTATGTTGTCTGCAGCAAATGACTCGTCCAGTTTAAAGGCAGCAAAAAGCTGATTTATACAAAAACCAACGCAGGAAAGGAATAAAACAATCGACAGTTAAATAAATTAAAACTTGGATGTAAATCCAGGAAAAGCTTTCCGGTGAAAGTTTGGTTTTAAGAAGGGATTTAAGAGACATTATTGATGAAATGACGCCAGATAAAATAAAAGATCTATTAATAAAATATAAATATATGTCCAACGTGAACGTTCCTGAGGAGGCGAGCGTTGGTTAAACTCACCACACGTGCAGCTGTGCCACCAGGAACCAGGAGTTGAGGGTGTCGGGGAGCTCACACTCTGCAACGGACAACAACGGAAAAAGAGTTTTAACGTTAACGTGCAGCTTTTCTGCCAAACAAATAATCAGTCAGTCTGCAAAATCTAAAAATTGAAATTGGGCGGTCACAAACACAAACTTATGTTATCTTGGGGGTCGTGGCTCAAAAAGTTTGAGAACCACTGGTCTAAACTACAGGCGCTGAAATCCCACGTGTGCTGAGATTCTACGGCCTGTTCAGTATAAGGACATTAACGGGACCATCTTTGTACACCCATGAAGCAAACAGGATTTACAATAAAAGTCTGAATTTTTTGCGTTAAATCATCCAATATATGATGTTCCAATATACCCAATTTAACGAAGATGACACGTACGGCCTCTAAGATATCAACCCTCAAAAATGGTACCTTTCCCAATTTTCGCACCGATTGCCAATGATTGATGGGTCATACCAACGTGTAGTTGAAGTCATTTGAAAGAGAATGTTTGTCCTTCCTGGGACACTTCAGGTCACCAACACCTTTTACTTTGGAGATCCAAACCCAGCGACCACCTCTCAAAGCAAACTACAGCTTCAGATTAAGGAGGCAGATCTTTAGCAGGTAAACATCGATTAAACGATAAGACAAATTTAAGTACAGATGGTTTCTGTTGGTATAGCTGTAACAGTTTGTCCCAGCTCTACTCTGTTCACACTGAACATGCCGGTTTGGGCTGGTAGACATTAAAC